CATTCGTTTCTCTGCATTCTGCAGCGTCTCTTCGTAGCGTGGCGCTGTGTGCGGCTCCGTCGACGTCGGCGTCTTCGCTCTCTTCGTCGGCGTCTTTGCTCTCTTCGGTCCCGCTGACCACGGGTGTCCTCTTCGGCGGTGCCCTCGGCTAGCCACTTGTGGTCCTGAGGTTGAATCGGCCTAGTCGAGCCGGACGTCCTGCCCGTCGGGTGCGGGTGCCTTCGTTCTCAACCTCCCCCGGTCCACGGAGAGTCCGTTGAGTGTCGTCTGAATGAGGCGACTCAGGATGCTACTGCCTTGCGCCAGTCCCGGCGTGCTCTCGGCGTGGCGGTGGTACCAGGCGTGGCGCGAGTGTACCGCCGCCTCCGTCCCGAGTGCGCGCACGATCTTCAGGGTGGAGGAGGGGGCCGGTGTGGTTCGCCAGATCCCCGGCTAGGCCTCCGCCCGCGCCTTCCCCGGCGGGATCTTCGGGTGTGCTCCCCCTTCAATAACTTGGTCAACGTGCGCAAAAGGTCCAGACGCTGACGACGGACACGAGCGAGCGTCTACCGCGGCGCCGACGGCAAGCTCCACGGCAAGCTCCACGGCGCGTGGAAGCACATGACCCACCGCTCGCGGACGGCGTCCATCCAGATCGCCGAGCCCCACGTCGTGCCGTCCGAGAGCGGCGGCGCCGACGACGGCGCGTCCGCGACGGACGACCGGGACCTCGAGGGCTTCGACGTCGCGTCGGAGACGGGGTCGCTCCACGGCTCGCTGCGCAGAGGGGAGCGGGGCCTGCCCAAGGGCCACGACTCGTCGAACGTGCTCGCGGCGCTCGGGAGCGCCGCCCGGCGCGCCTTCGAGCCCACGCGGCGCGAGAAGGGCCTCGAGTCGGACACGCTGTCGAACGCGCTGCACGCGGAGGCGCACCACGAGCTCGACGGCTTCGTGCACCACGACGCCCACCACCCCTTCGCGCTCCCCGACGACGACGACCACGAGAAGGAGGACGATTTGTTGTTCGGCTCCGGGGACCGCGCGCACCACGGGCCCGGCGCGCACCGGCGGCCGTCGTTCCAGCGCCGGCCGTCGTACGGAGAAAAGCCCAAATCCAAGTCGTCGCTGCCCACGCTCAACGACGACCGCCACGAGCAGGAGGACTGGCACCAGCACGACGTCGAGGTCGCCGGCGACCTGGGCTACGTGCAGACGCTCGTCGAGGTCGACCGGCAGCACCCGCGCGAGCCCCGGCGGCCGTCGCTGAGCCGGGGCCGGTCCGCCACGTCCGTCGCGAGCGACGACGAGGCGACGCCGGGTTCGTCGCGCCGCGCCGCGCGGCGCCGCTCCCGGTCGCCCGCCGACCGCGACGCGTCGCCGGCCGCGGCGCGCGGCCGCGTCTTCTCCTTCTCCCGCAAGAACTCCTTCGGCCGCCGGCCGAGCCGCTCCCGGTCCAACTCCGTCGAGCGCTCCGGCTCCGAGGACGAGCGCGAGACGCGCCGCGAGGCCCAGGTCGCCGAGCGCCGCAAGAGCCTCGACGACCTCCCGCCGCCGCCGCCGAGCCCCGAGGGCAACGGCGCGCAGGCCTTCGACGCGCCGCCCGAGGTCGCGTGTCTGCCGGCGAGCTCCGAGACCGCCGGCGCCGCCGCCTCCGTGGCCGGCGTGCGCAAGGCCAAGGAGGAGGCGCCGCCGCTCCCGGGCCCCGAGATGGCCCCCGAGACCAAGGAGGAGGCGGCCCCCGAGACGAAGGAGGCGTGAGCCGCGCCGCCCTCCTAACACTCCCGAACCCGTTACTACATGCAGGGCTCGTCCGTGTCGTCGGGCGCGTCGGCGGCCCAGTCCGTCGCCGTGACGTCCGGGATGGGGTCGCCCCACTTGCTCTTCCGCCGCACGGCGGCCGTCCAGTACCGTCGCAGGAGCGCGTCGGGCGGCGCCGTGAGCCCGCCGTCCTGGGACCGCCGGCGGAACTCGACGGCGGCCTTGCGCGCCGTCGACGCGGCCGCGGCGTTGCCGCACTGGTCGAAGAAGAGCGCGCTCCGCTCGAGCTCCATGGCCTGCACGCCGTCCCTATCCAAGCCCTCGCAGGAGTAGCCGACGTCGTAGTCGAAGTTGTCCTTGTCGGCGAGGTGCCGCCGCCACCAGTCGTCGTCGGGCGGCGCGAGGGGCTCCTCGGGCTCCCGGGGCCGCGGCTTCGGCGGCGCGGCGGCGACGACCGCGTGCGTCGCGGCTTTCAACGACGCCTTCGCGGGCGACGCCTTGGCGGGGGACGCGCCGGCGGTCCGCGCCGCCGCGCGGGGCGGCGGCGTCTTGGGCGCGGCGCGGCCCGAGGCGCGCGCCTTGGCGCTCTTCGCGGGCGACCGCAGCGCGGCCTTGCTCGGCGTCGGCCGCTTCGACGGCGACGGCAGCCTCGTCGCGGGCGCGGCGACGGCCTTGGGGACGTCCCCCGGCGCGACCGCGGCGCCCTCCGGCGCGACGGCGGCGCCGCCCTTGTCGCCGGGCTCCTTCTTGGGGGTCACGCTCCGGCTCGGCGCGTCGTCGTCCCCCGGCGCGTCGTCGCCGGGCGCCGCCTTCGCCTCGGCGCAGTCGTCGGCGAGCCGGCTGCTCGACGAGTCGCTCTGGAGGGCCTTCTCCTTTTCGGTGACGGGCGACCCCAGGCGGGGCGGCGACGCGGCGCTGAGGTCGTCGGCCTCCTTGACCTCCTCGAGGTCCTCGAGCGTGATGTCGTCGGCGCCCGCGTTCGCCTCGGCGGCGAGGCGCTGCTCGCGGAGCCGCCGCACGTTGCTCAGCGCCGACATGCTCGGCGGCGCGCGCCCCTCCGGGGGAGAAGCGCGCGCGCGCGGCCCGGTGCCCAACCAGCTCCGCGCGGGGGCAGCGGCTAAGCTCTGGTTTGAGTGGTGACACAATCTTTCCTGCACGTTTCTCGATTCAGCTTTAGCCTCGGTACCAGTCGTCGAAGTCGTCTTGGCGTGGTGGCCACTACTCCGATGGAGTTTGTCGTCGTGTCGAGGGACGCGGACCTGCCCGAGGGCACGGTCGTGGCCTGCGACGACGAGCGCTTCGACGACGAGCTGCGGGCGCGCGAGTTCCGCGTCGCCGAAATCGTCGACGGCGCGCCGCTCGACGGCGAGCTCTGGCTGCCCCTGGGCGACCTCGCCTGGCTGCCCGACGGGCCGGACCTGCGGTCGTTCTGGGCCATCGCGACGCGGCGCGGGTCCTCGTCCGTCAACGAGGGCCGCGGCCTGCCGACGATCCTCTTCCTGCACGCGGGCAGCCTCACGCGGCACCAGTACCGGCCGCAGCTCCTCGCGCTGTCGCGCGAGTTCCACACGGTGGCGCTGGACCTCGCGGGCCACGGCGACTACGCCTTCCTGGAGGAGTTCGAGCTCAAAAGGTCCGTGGACCGCTGCGTCGGGCACCTGCGAACGCTGGGCGTCGCGGAGTGCCTGGTGGTCGCGACGTCGCTGGGCGGCAACGTCGCGGGCCTGCTCGCGGCGACGCGGCCGGACCTCGTCGCGGGGCTCTTCCTCCACGGCTGCACGACGGACTTCTCCGCACCGGAGATCCACGCCAAGTTCGGCGACCTGAACAAGATCTTCGACCGGCAGGAGGCCATCTACGGCGACATGAAGTTCCCCCAGGAGGTCATGGCCGCGTCCATGAAGCAGGAGCAGACCGCGTCGAAGAAGGACGCGGCGACCGCGGCGCTGCGGAACGACCTCTGGCGGACGTGCATCCAGGAGACGCGGCTGAACCGCTTCTCCTTCAACCACTTCCTCGTCGAATTGCACGGCGTCGACGGCCGGCCGGGCTCCGCGGCGACGCACGCCGGCTTCGGCGACGTCGACGACGTGCGGATCATGCAGCCGGACTACGACCTCAAGCCGCCGGGCCAGCACCCGCTGGAATTCTGGGACCGCCAGCGCCTCAACTCGCACCGGACGCCGGGCCAGCCGCCGCTCAAGTTCGAGATCGTCGAGGACGCGGGCCACTACTGGAACCTCGAGTACCCCCTCATGTACGCCCAGCGGGTCCGCGACATGGCCCTCGACGTCTTCGCCGACCACCCCCGGTGCCCGCCGCGGTAAGTCGGTCGTTGAATATTTGCTTGAACTCTTGCCGGTTGTCCGGGCGGCTTCGAACAAGGGGATATAAATCTAGATGGGGTGGCAGGCGAAACGCGAGGTCCTCGTACTACTCGGGGCCGCCGCTAGCGTTTTCTTTCTTCTTCCACGCCGCAGCGCGCGGGCTGAGTGCAACGATGGCGGGTCGCGCGGCGCGGCGCGGCTGCGGAACCCTTCGACGGGGCGGGGCAGCGAATTTGGGCTGCTGAGATCATTGCGTTGGCTCGCGAGCGCGA